AGAGGAGGGATGCCAGGCCGCCCGCCGGTTCACCCTCACTAACCCGCGGCTCGCTCGACTCTTCAGTGCGGCCTGAACGGTTAACCGGCCTACTTCTCTCTCCTCCTGCGCTTCGCCGCTTTGGTCCCGCCGCTGCCAACCCTCGTCGTCGTCGTCGTCGTCGTCGTCGTCGCCGCCGTCGTCATCGCCGTCGTAGTCGTCGTCGTCGTCGCGACGTCGTTGCACCACCGTCATCGTCACCGCTGTGGGGCCTGCTCGATTGGTGTTTCCCGACCCGCTCGTCGATGTAAAATCGCGAGAGGAACGCGAGACGAGAAAACGCCAGAGAGAGAGAGAGAGAGGGAGAGGACTCTCTCTCGCGCTCTCTTCCTTTCCGTCTCTTTTTTCTCTCTCTCTCTCTCTTTCTTTCTTTCTTTTTCCCCCCTCACCGTCCGCGAGCGGCTCGCAGCCTCCGCAGCAGTTCGCCGCTGCGGACAGCCGGCCTAAAAGAAGAAGAAGAAGAGGATAGTTCGCGCTCGGGGGTGCTTTTTCCTCGCGCGCCAGTGGTGTTCGGGACTGTGACTCGATCTCGCTCGTGAGTAAACGGGAGAGTTACGACACTCGCGGAGGAGATCGCTCTCGCTCTCGCTTCCCTTCTCTCTCTTTCTCTCCACCTTCTCTCCCCCCTCTCTTTCTCTCTCTCTCTCTCTCTCTCTCCCCCTCGTCAACGCTGACGACGACGTTTCGCCAACGGACGACGACGAACGGACGCTACCCCGCTCCACCGCGGGAAGCCGTAAGTGTCTCTTTCTCTCTCTCTTTCTTTCTCTCTCTCTCTCTCTCTCTCCTCTCCTGTGCCGTGTGCCGAAGATCGATTCCCCTCTCTCTTTCTCTCTCTCTTGTCCCCTATCCCTCTCTCTCTCTCTCTTTCGTTTTATTACGCGGGCTCGCGTAAAAGTCTCTCGCTTCTGCACGCGCTCCGATCTCGCCTCGCCTCGCCTCCTCTTACACTTTGTTTCTTCCTCCGCTCTCTCTCTCTCTCTCGTGTCACCTCCGCTCTCATTATGTTCGTTATCTTCTCCGCGCGCGGCCCCTGCGAAACGCGACGCAGAAGGCCGTGGGCTGTCGTCGTAGCGACGGCGGTGGTAGCGTGGCGAGAGAGCCGCACCGGGAGAGAGAGCTGCGTTGGATCTGCGTGGGGCTGCGTAGATGACAGCCGCGCGGCGGGGGGTGGCCTGACGGCTGACGGCTGACACGGAGCATTCGCGCGGGGCCGGATTGTTCCGCGTGCGACCGCGATCGAAATCGAGAGAGAAATCGACGCCGATTCGCGTGCCGAGCCTTGATTTTCCGCGCCGGGCCTCGGGGACGTCCTGTCGGGGGAAACTTTCCGCCACCTCCGCACCTCCCTCCGGCCCTCCTCTCGCCGCCGCTCTCTCCGCGTTTTCGTCACCTCCGATCGAATCGCGTCGGAGATCGCGGGATCCACGCCGAAGCGTCTCCGCGTTTACCCCTCGGCTCCGCTGCGAGTTCGTTTTATCCTCTTCTTTCCTGCCCCGCTCGACCGACCGCTCGCCTCGGGCGATCTATAATCCGACGGTTATTGTGCGTAAGACGGGAAACACTCGAATAATCAGGGTAAGCGCGTTATTATAGTGTATACACGTCCCGTTGTACGCGCGCGTGTACGGAAGGGTAGTACGTGGCGCTGGGGATACACGTTCCGAAAAGTTTCGTCGCGGATTGCGGATCTCGACGCGAGCTTCGAGGAGCGGCGTGATCCTTGAAAGGGATACGATTCGACAAGAACGCGCGGGCGAGCTGAGTTTCCGACGGTTCTTTTCGAAGGGCCCGAAATTCTCCTCCCCGCTTATTCGTCCGTTTCCGCCGGGTGTGTGTAAAAGTGCAACTGGAGGCTCGCCGACTCGCACGATCTCTGTGCGCGCAACGTGTCGATTCGGTGCTTGTGAACAAGTCAGAATGAAATCCCACGAAATATCATCTCAAGTAGTACACTACGCGTGTCCACTGGGCCGTCCCCGGCAACGGCACTGCGATAGATAAGAGGAACGGATCGCGCGCTCGTTTAAATCGCGGACCTTTAATACGCTCTTTTCTCCCTCGTCAAGCAGGTGACAGTTTCGCGACAGACGCGAGGTTTCTGATCGGACGAGAAAAAACTTCGCGGACTAACGTGCGTTTTGCGCCTGGCCGCGCATCGGGCGAACTCACTTTTAATTTCTTTCCTTTCTTTTTTTTTCTTCCACCGGACACGCGAGCGCGGCTAGAAGTGTCCGTTTCTTCGCGTTCAACGGCGAGAAAGAGAAAGAGAGAGAGAGAGAGATCCTCCGTTCGTATATTCCCGCGAAACTTTTTGCGTTACACGGTACACCGGATAACGTGTCGATTAAAGCCCACGCCATTACCCGCCCCCTCCCTCGCCCGTAACCCCCTCCCCGTCCCCGTTGTGGAATAATTAACCGCTATGCAGCAGCGTACCGCGAAACGACGCGATCGATTTTAGGTCACGATCGTTCGCCCGTAATCCGATTAGCTTCTGCAACAGAATGATAAGTAACGACGACGGCGATAAACAATGACGCATCAGGAGCGGAGATTCTGACGACGAGGCCGCCGCCGCCGTCCACGATAATAGATAGGGCTGTGTCTTCGGGGCGGTATAGGCGCTAAGGCGCGCCGCTTAATAATTTCTCGGCGAGAAAAGTAACGGGGCTAGGACCAGGCCGGGATTTGATCCCGCGACCTCCCGGGCGACTCGATCGCTTATCCCGCCGAGCTATCCAGAGACTCGATCGCGAATCTCTTCCGCAAACGTGAAAATCTTCTCCGGCGTGAACTCGCGAAAAGTGAAAATTTCCCTTGGCAAATATTGAAGTCGCCGGTGAAACGCTTCGCTTTTCGCGAGTTCGCGCTGGAGCAAAAGGATTCGCGATCGAGCCCCGGGCTCGCACCCGATATTGCCCTCCTGCCTACTTTGTTTTCGCTGAAACAAAGTGGGAATAATAGCGCTACCGCGGAGTGACACTTGGCACCTCGCTCGATGTCCTTTGGTAGGCCATCATATGGTAGCGGAGTGCCCGTTCGCTAAAACGGGGGGGAAAAAAGTCACACTTTTTCCCGTCTTTTTTCTAGAAACTCGCGGAAGTAGAGCGGAAACGGCGACTCTTTCGCGAGCCGCTGCAATTAATTACGCGCGCCGACAGAGCCGGCTGCTTAAATTCGAGAGCGACTCCAGGGGGGGGGGGGGCGAAGGCGCGGAAAGGAGCGAGGCATCTCCCGGTGACGATGAATACGATTCCCCACGGTGTTGCCCGCCGCGAAATTAGCGCTGTCCATTAGAGAATAAAAGTTCGCGGGAGAGACTTGTGACCGGCCGACGCGGCGGCTCGGGCCATTCAGGCTCTTATTGGTCCTCCCTTTACTACCATGACGTCGACCGTGGCGACGTTTCGCCGATGTCGAAACGGTAAGAAAACATTTTACATCAAAGAGCCCTTTCTTTCGCTCTATTGGAAGAGCCGGGTCTAATTTCCTGTCCAATTTGTGCGGCGCTTTGTGCGAGACGGCGATACGACGACACGTCGTCGTCGTCGTCGTCGTCGTCGCCGTCGGTCGCCGCGTCTCTCCCCAAAGTCCTCGCACGAGGAACGGGGAGCCGGCGCGGCGCGCGCGATGCCAGCCAGCGCGAAGCGACTCACCGCCCCGGCGGAGTATCGTTCTTTTACCGCAGGCCTCCGTAAATACTTTAATACGTTACGTTCGATCGTGTCCTGCTATTATTTATACCAACACACACACGTGTACGTGTGTATTCGCGCCCGCGTGTATCCGAGGTATCCTCTATTTTTATCTAAACTTATAACCAGCTCGGGCACCGCCGGGATAATTTACCTCCGCCGAGAGTCGCGGGATTCGCGACGTTATTCGCGCCTCCTCGTCGAAGTCGCCGCGAGCCAGCTCGTGCGAGCGAACGCGGGCGGACACGAATGAACGACGTCCGTTCGCTTCGTCGAGGGAACGACCGGGTCCGTTCGAGTTCTTGTTCGCTCGGCCGCTGGATTACCCGCCGGCGAGAAAAGATCCGCGGAAAGGCGCCGGGAAAAACGCTCGAAATCGACTTAATCATTGGGCTCGAAAGACTGAAGAAATGTCCGATTTCGTCTCAGGTTGCACCGGTCGATGATTTCATTAAAGCCCAAACAGGCGAAGAAACTTAGCAGCAAGACTCAAGACTTGAGGGAAGTGAGGGAAGTAAGGGATGCTGAAAGTCCCGATTGGTCCAGCTTAAAGGCCCAAACGTACGAAGAAACTTGAACAGTAAGACTCGAGACTGTTGAGAATATCAACCATACGAAATCCTCGGCGTTGCTTACGTCTTAAAATGGCTGCTTACGTTCTCGACTGTCATTGGTCACTTTCCTTAAGGGGATGCTGGAGTGGTTCTGCACTTTTGCACCTTTCTAACCTAAAAACTGTCAGTTCACGGAAACATTTGTGTAATATACAAATTAAATGGCTTACGTGTACAGATCGAAAGCAGCTTGCTATTCCGGCCAAATGAAAGAACAATATGGCATCACTGAAACTAAGTTTGTAAGTCTAATAAAAAATAATAGTGAGCAACTACATGTACTGTATGTATGTGTTGCTCACTATTATTTTTTATTAGAGTTACAAATTTAGTTTCAGTGATGTCATATTGTTCTTTAATTTAGCCGGAATAGCAAGCTGCTTTCGATCATCTGTACACGTGCCATTTAATTTGTGTATTACACAAATCTTTCCACGAAACAGACAGTTTTAAGTGCAAAAGGTGCGAAAGTGCAAAATCACTCCAGCATCCCCTTAAGCAATAAGACTTCACACGTAAGAATTTCAACCAATCGGAATTTTCAGCGCTGCTCGAGTTGCAAAATGGCTGCTTCCGTTCTCGACTGCACTGGTCATTTTTCTTATATTTTGCTGCTTAAGTTGTTTCGCGTGTTTAGGGTCTTAAGCTAGAAACACGCGAAAAATTTAAGCAGTAAGACTCGAGACGTAAGAATTTCAACCAATCGGAGTTTTCAGCGCTGCTCAAGTTGCAAAATGGCTGCTTCCGTTCTCGACTGTGATTCGTCACTTCCCTTAAGTCTTAAGTTTCCTCGTGTGTTTAGTCCTTTATTGGTTCACTTGCTTTAAGCCTTTAGTCTTACTGCTAAAGTTTTTCGTGTGTTTGAGCCTTAACTCATCCCTATCGCGTCGATCGCGACGTTTCTCGCCGAGGGCGACCGGCGCGACCGAATCGATTCAATCCGATCGCGCAGCGTCGACGGGAACTGTCCCCCGCGCGGAACAAACGTCGATCGGGATCGCTCGGCCGTGCCGGGAAGCTCGGCAAAGCGCGAAAATCGACCTAACTAAAAGCGGAAAGTTAGAAAAGTTAAAAAACCCACTGGACCCGTGAGTAAGCGGGGCGGGGCGGGGCAGAGGGGGCGAAGAAGCGGCGGAGTGCGAAAGAGCAAATTTACGCGGAGAGCAAACGCCGGACGCGCAAACACGCCGGGCGCCCCGTTCGCGCGCCCAATCAGGATCGGACGGAAAATATCGGGGTGACCGAGCCCCGGCTACGCTCGATTCCACAATTATGCATTTCACCGATTCGACCCCCGCCGAATTGCTCGTCGACGGACGGGACGCGGCAAGATCGACGTCAACCGTTTTCGTTCGTTTTAACAAAGGGTCTAGAATTCCGGAGCCTCGTCGCGATCGGCAGAAAATATGGAAGAGTGTCGCGTG